TATTAATTTTATCGATATTCACACTGTAAATCCACCTCCGATAAAATACTGGCAATCATAAATACATAACAAAATATATTATATTATATGAAATAAATACTATACGTGCCATATATTTACGTAATTAAATTAATTACGTTATTAAAAAATGTTTTTAGTATATCGAATTATATGTAAAATATTACAAAAGTGCATAGAAAATATGACACTTCGTAATTTATTACTTTTGAATTTGATTATAAATACGAATCGAGTTTTATTATTATAATTTTATCGTTTGTTAACAACGCTAAAAATTCAGAAAATAAATGAAAAAAAGATTGAGTTTGCAAGATTATTTTAGTCATTTCACAAAGAAAAACTTCAGCGACGAATTGCATACTTTCCCGGTAACATTTAAAATTGCGTGTGTGGCACCATCTGTTACGATATTTTATTTTAAAAAAACTTTTTATATCTTTAATTATTATAAAATGGAAAAAAGCTTAATTTTGAGAATAAGGACGGGTTTTATAAAAAATTTGTCAATGCTAATAACTAGTAAAGTCGTCATTAAGTCCGACTCTACTCGAGATAATGCACACGACCCCTTTATCTCCCCATCTCTCCCACCTTTAACCACCAAAATTTAATAGTGTCGACTCCCTTAATACACAAATCTTCCTGCAAAATTTCAGAAATTTTCGAAAAAAGTCCAGGAGTTATTAACTTTCAAAGAGGGTGAAGAAAATCGTGCCCCCTTCACAAACACAAACATCCATACATACAGGCGGAAAAAAACCCGAATATTTTTCATTTCTTGACATTTCCCAAGTCTAAAATATAAAAATCTTGGGGGTCATTTTTTGAACGATCGGTATAACAGAGCCGGGAAAGTAAATATTTGTATCTTCTATCTAGCTACATACTGTATATATATATATATATAATATTTCTGGTTTAGTTTATTTGGTTACGATAACTCGACACGCGAGAGATCTGCCAAGGGGGAATGCTTCCGAGAGAACTTTCTATGAGAAACTGACCCCTATTTAGGTGCTACAAAGATGAAGAAAACCCGGAAAACTCCAGCCAGATTCGAACCCACGATCAACTACTTTTTGAACGGGCTTGTGTACGTACAGTCCTTAAATCCGGCCCTGACTGTATGTATAGGTATATAATATCGTAATTATAAAGATTATAGTGTATGCGACACATCTAATTAAAAATGATTCCTTTATAGACTCACATACATTGTAACTTTTACAATCCAGAAGGGAATAAAAATTTTTAATTAAGGTGCGTTTATAATTTTATCAAAGATGGCAGACCACGCATCTTAGATAAACAAAAGATATGAAGCTGTGGTACAGTTATAACTGGGAAACTGAGAAGCTGTAAGAATTTCTTTATGAAATCTTTTGATTGGCGTAGTAGATCTACACTTCATAAATGATTATCTACAGAAGAAAATAAATGGGCAGATGTGGGTATTTTCGAGTAATTTTTGAAGATGTAGGTAATTTTTCACATTGGCAATGCTGGTAGATAAACCACATTGTTTAGAAGAGAATAGATACTGGGTAGTTCCGAGTGACGGAACGGTTGGCCAATTAGATACGTAAGGTTCCGCCTACTTTTTATATTTTGTGTTATAAACACCGCCGCCAAATTAGTCGGACGCAGATGACGCCATTACTCAAAATTACGAATAAATGTCAGAACTCAATTTGTTTTAAAGAAAAATGCATCCTATCATTACGTTCCATCAGCCCGTTGTAAGATTAATCTTACCATGACTCATAATTCTGGAATTTTATTGTATTTCATAGTTCATAAAAACAGTTTCTTGAGAATTATCTATATATATAAAGAATCAATTTTTGTTGGTTTATCTTTTAAACGAATCTTAACCGATCTGGACCAAAGTTTGTATTACTACTTTTGATTCTATTATACCTTTATAATTTTCGACTAATTCCATTAAATATTCTGTTTCCCGATGAGAAAAATCGGGTTGTCGACTTCTTTTCTTGTCTGCCATGTTTGTATCTAAGAGCGTATTACGTCTGTCCGAAATGTCCAATCAAATAACGTGTAAGAAAATTTTCTAGCAACGCTAGTGTCGAAATTATTAGATTCACTAATCCTGTTCCTAGTATGTCGGGATTTAGTAATCCTTCGCTAAAATTTGTTGGTGGAATCCTCGCGTCAGTAATCTCGATATAAGTCTAATCGCTGGATTTACAAATACCACGATTAGGCAACGTTGGTGAAACACCCCGTTAGACCCTTGAATCGACAATAGAGTACAGCATGTATTATGTTGCAAATATTTTTCCCAAAAGCTCGAGAACGGGGTTAAGTTTTCAACACTCTTTCTTATACACAGCGTGGAAAATAAAAAGGGCCAAAGAGAAAGAGTGGAAATTTCAATTTACAGAATTCGGTTAATGTTACGTAATGTCGACTAAAATGGCCGCGCTTCCGACTGTTCGTGCCCCCGACCGACCTCCCGGAGGGGAGCCGCCGGCAGGCCATCGTGTGTTTAACGTCACTAGTTATTAATTCACGGGAATTCTTGAACAAAGTTAAAAAAATAATAATAAGGAAACGTCTACTAAACATATACCGTGTTTCCCCGAAAATAAGACAGTGTCTTATATTAATTTTTGCTCTGAAAAATGCGCTAGGTCTTATTTTCAAGGAATGTCTTATTTTTTCCAGGAAGAAGAATTCACATTTATTATTGAACAAAAAAAAAATTCCCAAGTCGAACTTAGACGAGAGTGACGTATATTCGGTTTGTCGAACTGTCGCCTTTTTATAACGTCAACATCGGACTCGATGACCAATTAGTGCTTACTGAATCGTAGCACTATGCAAATGTCATGTGGCGTGATTCCCGGCCGACCAATTAGCCATCACCAGCCGTAACGTTATGCAAATCTGTGATTCCCAAGCCATAGTCTTACGCAAATCATGCCGTGTGGCGTAATTGTCTGCTGACAAATCAGTCACTGTACTTTCAAAAAACCAACGGCCACTTTCAACCATCTGTCGATGACCGTTACGACTAAACAAAAGCTTTGCTAGGTCTTACTTTCAGGGGGAGGTCTTATATTTCGCAATTCAGCAAAATCTGTGCTAGGTCTTATTTTCTGCAGGTGTCTTATTTTCGGGGAAACACGGTAGTTAATCTAACGGAAACTAAACGAACCTAACCGAAGCGCCGCCATTTTAGTCATCATAGGTAGCATTTACCCGGAATTCTCTACTCGTACCAGTTTTTTACTTTCGGCTTTGAATTATATTAATTTACAACGAAAATGAAGTTTTTTTAAGAAATAGAAACAAACCTGTAAAAATACCTCTAAATGTATATACATATTTTTTGTCAATTTAATAATTATTAATGTCCAAGTTGACAAAAAATATATGTTAAGAAACTAAAGGACAGTAAGGCAATAATAATTACCTTTAAATGTAATTCACCTCCAAATTCAGCTCTGGACAAAAAAGAAAACGGTGTTGAAACTGCCTCGCCGAATAATTCAGCAAAATCTAACCATATTCACAAATCGCGAATACAATATGACAGTTCGTTTCTCCAACGTTTTCCGGAATGGTTGATGCGAGATTTTCCAAGGGGTATCTGGAAACATTGAAAAAAAAAAAGCATTTACAACTTCAGAGAATGACGAATTTAAGAAAGATTTTTAAAAATTCGTATGTGTAGCTATGATAGAAGTTTGATTTTACAATAATTTTTTGTTTGTGAATTTTATTTTCGAAAAGTTTTATGTTAAGAAGATACCCCTCATTTAGAAAAAATAAGGCTGGCCCTTTGTTATTGTTAATATTTACGCGACTGCGCTAATTTGTCCCGGGCAAGATACGTCACAGAGTGGGTTAAGATCCGTTTACCCGAATCTCACTTCCCGGAATTCTATTCGAGAATGTCACAATGCTTTGTTTAATTCCGAGGAAAAATTATAAGTAGAATAATTCATATATTTTAAGAAAAAAGGTACGCTCGTGTCGAAACCCGCCATGTCTTCAAATTTTTAAATCTATGAACAATTTCAGTAGTTAAACATTTTTAAAATAAATTTTTTAGTTCATATTTTTCGTAGATAGTTTGGCGCCCTACTTAATTAAACAATTAAACAGGGCGTTTTCATTTGTTTACCCTTGCCTTGGCTTTGGATCGAAGTATACCCGATTCAACGGAAATGAGACAAACGAGTTTCTCATCGCTCGTTGTTGAGTGCAAAGTAGTGAAATATCATCGAAATCCTCGCGTATACGTTTAATTGAAGATTTTCTTATATCTTGGGTCCCTGGGATCTTAGATCGGTTGTATACAGCAACGCAACACGTGGGCGATCTGCCGGAGGGGGTGCCTCCCGAGAGAACTTTCTAAGGGAAACTGATCTCTATTTAGATGTTACTACCGTGAAGAAAACCCGGGATACTCCACGTAACCAGCCCGTTGGCCTCGTCCTTCACTACCTTTGTGGGCCTGGCCGAACCCATAATGGGCTTGCGTAAAAAAGATACCCTCTTAGTGCCCACTGGGCGGAAAGATGTAAAAAAAAAAGCTACTTCTGCTGAAATATGACGTAACAGAAGTCGGGAAAGTAAGATTCTGGGAAACGTGGATAAAACACACATGGTTAGTTTGAGTTGAATTAATTCGTCTAAAATAATTATTTAATTTTCCCGCTTTTAGGGTGATGCACAATAATCGTAGTAGCATCCCATCATAGAAATCAGAGAATTTACCGGATTCCCTATTCCCAATATCCTTAAGGTTATGAACTAGGGATGGAAATTCCAGTTCTACTTCTAAAACAAATTATTACATGTAAATTATTTAAAATTAATCATTTAAAAAAAATTAATTAATAAAAATTAGTCGGTTTAATTTATAAACGGGAGTTCAAAATTTAGCTAAATTGATAAAATCGTCTGCTTCTGCCAATAATTACTACTTGAGGGCGCTCGAGTCACTCTTCTAGCGTATTAATTATTAATTAATTATTACTATTTTCTTCTATCTTTGCGAAAAAATAAATAACACACAGAAAGAAATGATATTGTCCAGTCGTATTTCTCACAGACGACGGCAATAAAAAAAAAAAAACAATTAAAATGGCGCAGTAGAGAACTATGGGAAGTATCTGTTGCCATGGCAACCAAGAGACGCCAGTCATATTTTCAAAACAAGACATATTTCTGCGTGTTAATTAACAATGGAAGAACAATTAAGAAAACAATTGGTTAAACAGTTTCTGGAGGTAATTTCGGAGTTTGTTCAATTATTTTAATTTAGATATTTCTTAAGATTAAAATTAGTTTTTAATCTTAAGAAATATAAAAATTAATCAATATTCTGAATATTCTTTCAAATGTTGTTATTACATTCATTTATTCAGAGAGAAATCTTATTATATTAAAAATTGTTAAATGGAAAAACGTTTAAATAAATTTTTGGTGAAAAATCATTTTACAAAAATTATAATCTTTTTTATTTTATGTATTTTATACAAGATGTTTCAAAACAGATGGGCAAGATTGTGGGGTGTAAGAACACTCCAAAACAAACTTTTCTCGTCATAGTATGAGTGGTCGAATCAGAATGGCAAAGGTGGTAGAGAGTGCTTCCTGGCAAGTATATGGCACTTTTTTGTCATAGAACGCAATGGAACGGCATTCCGCCACCTTTTTTCAATATATTTTAAAAGTTTTAAGAGAATTTCTGAAAATTTGATGTTTGGTCCACGTTGAATCGTTCTGTTGAGCATAGAAGATCAGCAACAAAATTATTAAGACTGTCCTGCTCCTACTTGTGTACCGAATCTTGTGTGCGATGCGTGTGTACTGCAAACTTAGTTTGTGGTGACTGTGACGTATTGCTGGGCTCGTGTTTGGTCGTGTCGTGATTTGGCGGCAATGCGGGAATCGCAGTGCTAATTGCGACCGGTGACTGTCGTTTCGACTGTTTTATATTCTAGCCCGGGACGTCCCCTAGTGGGCATTCCACCACCTTTTTTTTCCGAAAAAAAGCACTGCAAGTATATATTTTGCATGTGTGGTCGTTTGCGACCTCGACGTCCGAAGAGAAGGATCGTTATTCTGGTGCCGAGAAGGCCGGCGTGCATTTCGTATACGGAGCTGCCGACGGCAGTGTCGTGGAAGCTCGACGAATGTACCGGGAGCGTTGGGCCTGTTCCCGATTGGAAAACGTTTGAGTGTTCGTAATGGCAATCGTGTGTGATGGGATCTTTCACAGTGACAGGCGTGATGTGGGCCGTTCCTGGATGGCAAGGATGTCAAATACGATAGAGAGCATTCCCTTTATGGGGAAAGATCGGTCGGAAGTAAGCGGGAGAACCGTAGGGTGTAGTCTTAGTGTGGCTCATAGTACTGTATGGTGGGTGTTACGTGAGCAATTGTTACACCTCTACCATTTGCAGAAAGTCGGGGCCTTGACAGATAAGGATCTTTCTTGTGTGGAATTTGCCCACTGTTCCTATGGCATAGTGTAGTGTAGGCAGATTTTGCGGCATTTGATTCTTAGACGAAGCTACCTTTGTGCGTGATGGAATTTATAATGTGCACAATGTGCATGCGTGGGCCATCGTAAACCCACGTGCAATATAGTGGCATTACAATCGGCAGAAGTTCTCTTTGAATGTTTGGGCGGGGATAATCCACAATTACTTAATTTGGCCGTATCTTCTACTAGACTGCCTCGCCGGGAGAATGTATTGCATTTTTCTGCAAGAGGTATGTAAGAAGTCTTCCCAGATTTTCTACAGGAATGTCCATCAACCATTTGATGATGCATGTAGTTCCAGCACAATGGAATACCAGTCCATTTTCGCTCTAGTGCAGAATTACCTGAACACTATATTTTCATGCCGATGGATTGGGTATGATTGTGCCATCTCTTGGTCTCCATGACCTCTGTCTGTCCTGTCTCAACTTTTTTCTGGGGACATCTCGAGCATTGTGTACAAGACTCCCATTGAAATCCAAGATCATCACCTGAATTAGTGTCACTGCTGCAGCTATGCATGAGATGGCTAGTATTTTCCAAAAAATATGTGATTCATTCTGTCAACACTGTGAAGCATGCATCACAATTGGCAGTTGCTCTGTTGAGTAATTTCTGTAATTATCCATTACAAAAAGATTCTTTTTCATGTTCAGTGTCATTAATCATTACTGTGTTTGTGCCTCAATACGTCACATTTGACCATGCGTTCTATGATTAGAAATGTTTGTTTTGGTTGTTCTTTCACCTTTAAAGTTTTGCTTATTTTTTTGAAACACCCTATATTAAATAATGATAGAATCTGAATTTGTAAAACTTTGCTGAAATTGAAAATTAAAGATAATTATTTTAGCAAAAATGCTGATGTAGTTCTGGCAATGGCCAGTGGATAAAATCACCAAACACTAGTAGTTAACAAACATGTGCTGTAATAATTTGGCCTTGTGCATTCATTTTTAATTATGAACACAGGAGAATAAAATAACATCATTCAATCCTGCAGTCAGGACTGGACTATACAATTCCATCTTCCAACACCCATGCCTAAAAAAGTTGAATACAATACAAGACTAAAAATGCTAAATATTCAAATACCTGCATATGATATTGGAGAAACTCTACCATTTGTAAATTATCAAGGACTGGCAAAGATAAAGTAAATAGAAAAAGAGCTCTCAGAATATATTCTACCCCTGCAATAGATGAAAGATTTAATTAACAATTAGTGTACCTTTCTACAAACAGATCTTTAACAAGAAAAGTGATGGAGCATAAACATAATATTGATAGCAATAATCCGGTAATTATTTTAGCATAGTTTGCAATAGAACCTGTAGTATATGCAAATCTTAACAAGGCCAAATTATTACAGAATTTGTTTGATGAACACAAGCTACGAATATTAGAAATATTTAAGGCCAAATTAAAAGGAGATGCATAATTAATAAGGACTACAAATCTCTATTTGCCTCATGGCAATCTTTATACAATAATCCACATAAGAACATTTTGTCACACACATGTAGAAATACTGTATATATGTTTATTTGTTTTATAATCATTTAATGTTTTATTTTACTTATCAAAATTCTTCATAATTATGTTTTTAATCACAAACATATGAGAAATATAGCATGTTCTATATCTTAAAAATAAATAACATCACTTATTTAGTAACATTCCAATATTGAATGTTATCAAATTGAAGCTAGATTGGAAACCTGATGCAGACTTATGAAATATGTCAAAAACATTTGTTTTCTTAATAAATGCATTTTCTGGAAATGCAAGGATGGTGTTAAGATTTTCATATTAATCATGGTTTCAGCATTGTTCATTGGTTTTAGCTACATCACTTTTTTCTTCATTCTATTTCTCCAAGTGTTTGGTTATTATTGTCTTTTATGTTATTATTTTGATTATTATTGTTTATGATTGAATTGTCAAAGTTTATCTGTTTCTTTCATGTAATATATTCTTTAAATTTGTTGAAACTATTCTAATATTAAATGAATTGTTAAATGACATTTCATGCCATTTCTTTCCATTCAAATTCATGTCCCTTATTGATGCAGAAAAAAATTTCTAATGAATCACAAATTGGAAATACAATATACAAGTATGTTTTATATGAGCTGTTTTTAGGCCTTATTGATTAATTCCCTTCATTATGCAAAAATGTAAAAATAGTTCATCCAAGGATTAATCATAATTATTTTGTGTGTCATTAGATAAAAGCTACAACTGTAATAATACAATCTACAATGTTTATTTAAATTTTAATTTTAAAAGGAAATTTTTAATGTATATTATTTTATCAATTTTCTTTTGTGAATTAATCAATTTGACAAATGAGTGGATCATGTATAAAACTAGAGGGCTAAGTTTTCTGATTTTCAGAAAATGGGATGAAAGTGAAATGTTATTAAAACAAACGAATAGCTGGAACAAGAAAATAAGAAGATACATATGGTCAGCCTACCACTGATCTATCATTAATGATAGCTTTAAAACCATCAATGTTTTCATACAATCATACTGCACTACACACTGTACAACACCTATAGACACCTACTGCATACAATAATTATAATACTTTTTCTAATACAAATCAGAATTTTTTTTTGGTAAAAATGGACAAATTAGGGTATTTTTCAATTGACACAAAGTATCCAAATCAGGGACAAATCCCAGAAATTCTGGATTTACAACGACTCTAAATATCTCTATCTTTTCCTTAACTTTCTACTCATTACTTTAATGGAAAAAAATTCAACAGTTTACTTAATTTTGGCAAATTTAAACATAAGAATTACAGAAACTGGAGAAGTATCTGAATGAAATAACTTCTGCAATGTACTTTAATACCACCAAAAATGTTTTGACCTATTCACATAGGTCTTCATCAGCTGGAACAACAAAAGTTTAAAAGAAAAAGAATACAAAGAACATACTAAATAGAATAGAACGTGTTTAATGTTTTAAACTCAACATAAGAAATATTATGATAATTAATTTTTATTATGTTTTTTATTTAATATTAAAAATGAATTAAAAGTATATAAAAATTCCTTGTGGTCGATACAAGATTGCTTTATAAATTTCTAACATCTACAAGTATTTGAGTAAGTTAGGGTTCTTGGGCCTAATAATACTAGCTTCATCCCATTTTACTCATATCCATGCTGGGTGGCATAGGCTTTAAGTTTTGCATTATCCAGATGTTTTTCCACCATGTACTTTATGTTTTTTCTTTGTGGTAAATTATGTCCAGTAGCTTCTACATACATTAGTTGTCTGTTGAATTAGTAGTTCTCTAATGGGATGGAGTATCCACCCAAGGAGTTGGTGTATCAATTCTGCGACTTATCATTTCTTGGAATTCTAAATACCATGAGATTGTGCATATAGAGGTGGTTTGTTATTTCTTCTAATCAGGTCATTTATTATGTTTTATTATCTAATTTTATTTTTATTATGTTGAGTTTAAGATTTTACACATTCTGGTTTATTTAGAATGTTCTTTGTATTCTTTTTTCAAATTTTTGTTGGTTCAACTGATGAACACTTATTTGAGTAGGTCAAAACATTTTTGGTTCGTTAAAATATATCACTAGAGTTATTTAAGGCATGCTACTTATTTCATTCAATTATTTTTTATATTTTTTAGTTTAAAATTTTTAAAGAAAATGAGTTGGCTCATCTGAATGAAAAAAAATTAAATGCTCTACTGATACCATTATTAAGAGAGAAGAAATTAAAAGAACTTCTAAAAGATGGAGAACTGATGTTTCAACAGTTTCAGAAAATGTTAGATATGAAAAATGAATTATGTTCATTTTTTGAAAAGGAATTTCAAGTATCAGAAATGCAATATATAAGAACAATTAGTCATTATTATGAAATTTTTAATGAAATTATTGGTAAGTTTATATTTTATAATGATTTTTCTTTATTTTTTTACATGTAAAAACATGTTACTTATAAACATTTCAGAAATATTTCAGCATAGAGCCCAAGATATATATTTTAATTTATCAAGTCAACTAACATTTTTCAAAGAAAAATATGAAAAGACATACAAAGACATAAATGAGAGACATAATGATGATATTAGAAAGATCAATGAGATAAAAATGGAAGAAAAAGTTAATTACGAAGAAAATCAGAAATGTTTAGAAGATAAATATGAAAAACAGATAAATGAGTTGAAAAAGCAAGTAAATATATTAATTAATATCTATATACATCCAAGCCCAAATTATTCTAATGATCAAATAATAAGGCATATAACTATCAAACTACAACTTGACTAATTAATTTACTTAATTTATTTGATCATTAAATATATTCAAATAAAGATATTATATATTATTTAGGAAATAGATCAAAAACAGGAAATAAAAGTTGCAATAGAACCAACAATAGAAAAACTTTGGAAATTAATTATAGAATGTTATAAAAGTTACCATGTTAGCACTTTAGAACAAAGGACCTTGTATGAAAATTTAATAGAAAAAGATAAAAAATGTATTGAAGAAATTAAGGTAAATAGAGAAAAGATATTAACTGAAAAGGTAAGTTTAATTTTTCAAAATATTTATTTATTTAAAGCATGTTAAAGTACTGGTAATATACATTTCAGAAAAATATTGCAAAATTACAACAAAAAATTAAAAATATTAAAGAGTTCCAATATGAAGAGCTATATAAACAAGAAAAGGTTTGTTTCTATTTATTTCCCAACTCATTGGCAAAGTTGTTGTAGTAAAATAGAGCATGCTCCAAAAGTTGCAATACATAGAAAAATTTAACACTATTATAAAGAAACATATTTTTCTAATAGCTATCTCTATATGTTGGCCATTTCTTCAAACACACACAGACTCATCTCTCTTACTCAAACTGAATCTTGTGTTAATACAGATGTTATCTACCTAATTGAACTTTGAATGTTTATTTAGGCCAGTCATGAGCAACCTATGGCCTATGGTTCTAATCTGTAGTCCCAAGGTTTTAGTAATGCAACTTTATTTTACTGTTTTTTCTTCATGTCATTATGCAACCCTAATTAACCTAATATTTGTGACATTCAAACTAATCAGTGAAAAAATAAACTATATTTAATAAACTATCATTAGCATATATTATTTTAGAGTCTAGTGCAGTGGTTTCCAGCCTTAATGACCTCACAAACCACTAAACTCACAATTTTGAATCCCACAGACCACTATCATGAATTTTTAAAATGATACAAACATCTATAGAATAATAATCATAAAAGTTCCATTTTACTTTGTTATAATTAAACAAGTGAATTTCGTATTAATAAATTAGTGTGAAGTTTGCTGTTTGTTTGAAATAAGTTTATGGATTGTTGCTTCTTTTCCATAAAGGCTGAAAACTGCACACTCACAACAGTATTTATTGTTGATTACTTATTTAAATTTTATGTTCTTTAATTCTTTGTGGTAAAAGCAACCAAGCATTTTGCATTTCTTTTGTAATACTTTGCATAACCTTGGGTCAATCAATGCCCAAATTTCTCCATAGACCACCAAAATTTTCTTGTGGACCATCAGTGGTCCATGAACCACTAGCTGGTAACTGTAGGTCTGGTGTACCAGGGGCTATGGAGTATGTTGGTACTCAGCAAGCTTAAAGCAGGAAGTCCATAAGAAAAAATACATACGGCCTGCCAGAAACTATAAAGTTCACTTTCAGCTATTTGGAAAAGATTGCTCATTATTTCTTTAGTTGATCCATGTTTTGAATCTTTTTATAATACACCAAAACTTTCAAGGGCTCTCACAGGTAACAATCAAGAGTGTTAAGGATTGGAGGATCTTGAAGACCATTCCAGGGGACTACAATAACAATCCATGAATCTGGAAACTGATGATCCAATTTTTCCATGTATTGTGACTTTTGGAACTTTTTGTAGAATAAGATCTGTGATTACTGAATTGTAAATTCTGATCATACTTTAGTAAATCACATAAAAAATTCAAAGTCTATTTTGAGAAAGTTTATGAAAGATGATATCAAATATTGATATAATTTTGAAATTATGCAATACCATTTTTCACAAACTTTATCAAAATAGTAAATCACAAAAAATTCAAAGTCTAAAGTATGATCAGAATTTATGACTCAAATAATAAAATTATAACACAGCAGAAAGTAATTCATTTTATATTTCATTCATATTATTTGATATTGAATTTTTTAAACTTCTGCAAAAATATCAAATTTATTATAATAAACAGTGCACTATCTATGACTTTTTCAGCTTGCTACTACACTGTTTATTGGAAGATAGCTATTGAGAATTGATTGTCATTTTTATTTGAGGATAACTATTAATGGAATAAATCCAGTCACTTCTTTCAGTTTATTATTATTAGAGCAACAACACAGCACTCAATACACACACACACACACACACTTACACTTAATTTCAACATACAGTAAGAGTGAAAACATTGAATATACTGCAATTTTTCAGTTTAAAATAAGCTTTATCTTTCTCCAATAGATAGAACACTTACTATTGGAGGACACTGTTTTCATCTTGTAGTTACAGTGTCCATTAGAATAAATATGGTTTTTAAAATAATTTAATTAATTTGATAGTCATTATATTAAATTTTTTTAAAAATATTAGCATCATTGATAATTAGTTAACAAATTGTGTTATATGTATTATTTTGTAAAATTGAAAGGTTTATCACTTGTAACAAAGTAAAAATCAGATTTTCTGATTTAATAAACAGGAAAATAAAGAAATTCAAGAATATTCTGTGAAAAGAACAAAAGCATTAAGCAAAATATTGAAAAATAAAAAGCAGGAAATTAAACACTTTGTCATGGAAACAGATGAAATTTTGAAATATTTAAATATGTTGATAGAGAAAGTATGTTTTTACAATATTTTTATTTAATAATTTTATGTTGGTTTTCTTAGAAATTTATCTTGTTATGTGTAGCAAAATATTCAATTAACACTTTTTCATTTTTATATTTTCTATCTTAGGCTGAAAAAATATTTAAAATTAAAGAATTATATTCAGCACTAGAATTTACAGATGAAAAAATTCAACCATATAATAAGTTATCTGAAGAATGTATAAAAGTATCATTTTTAAATTATTGTTTCTTATAAAACATTATCAAAAGAATAAAATTTTAATAAAAGTTTATCTAATTTTAATTTAATAGGAAGAGGAACTGGATTTGTTAGAAAATTTCAAGAGAAATTATAATAAAGTACTATTAGATTGTTGCATTTTAAACAAAGATATAGAAGATTTAAAGAGAAAAAATAAGGAATTGCATTTAAATCTGAGTAGTGATTCTGTTGATTTTCAGATAAATACTTGTGCCGTAAAAACATCCTGTAAATAATATTTTTCATTTTAATGAAAATGTTAAGTATTTGCATTTTTTTTAAATATTAAAATGTACATTTAATAATTAAAAATATAAAAATTTTAAATTTTATTTGTAAGTAAATATTGGCTTGAAAATATTGATAATTATAAAATTTAATTATTTAATGTCTTTTCTTTTAAGAAATTTATGAAAATATCATTATAATTGTAGTTATTTTTATAACTACAAAGTTATTTTAAGTAACTTTTGATATTGTTTCATTTCTTTGTTATTTACCAATTCCTTACTTGATCCTTTTCTTGTCTTTTTATCTTTTAAAAATATGCTATTATCAGATCAATTTAATTTAATTTAATTTTAAATAGCAATAAAAATATCTTAAATCAAAATTACCTGAATTTATGATTAAAATTTCAAAAGAAAACTGGAAAATGTTTAACTTCAAAAGTAATCATCTTAATTATAATAAAATTATTCACAAAGAGTTATAATTTATTAATGATATTTTTGTATTTATCACACATACTTCAGTATATATATTGTTTACATCTTTAGCATGAAAAACAATTAAGATATATACTATGAAATATCTTATTATGCACCAAAAATAAGATTCTCTCTCTGATTATTACAAAAATTGTTTTTCATGCTTGTATGGAACATTTTACAGTCAGTTTACATATATATTTTGTAGAATTAATATATTTTTTTTTTCTATTAAGTATATACAACATTATTTATGTAACAGATAAAATGGACTTCCTTTTTGATATTGTCCAACAAAAAAAACTGTAGATATTATTTTTTGAAAACAAATTCTTTATGTTTATTTTAGATATGAACATAATTTCAAAAACAAAATTTAAATGTCAAATTTAACTACTGTAAAATCACTGTCTGACCAAAGTTTAACTACTTTGATGCCGACTACGCTAATTATCGACAGTCAGAATAATTTTTATCTAGAAAAAAGGGTAAATAGCTTGACTTGACATTACTATCAATATAAAATCCAATATTAAAAAGATTATTTTAGTAATTATTTTATTCATTGCATTTTGCTTTTGCTGTGTAAAAACTGACTTTTATAATGTTATGCTTTAAACATATAAAAATAGCCAGAAAACAATCTGGAAAAGTAATAATCAATTTTCTAATATAATTAATTTGCCTAAAAGTAAGCACTATTGCTGTCTCAAATTTTAATAATCAAAATTTAGTTATTTGAGAATTATCTGGAGCAAGATTTATACTTAAATTGAACGTATGCTATTAATTTATCACATTGCAGATACAAAATTGGCTTTATCTTCTCTGGTCTTCCAGTCATTTTTAATATAATTAGTTTATATTTATCTTTAGATGAATGAGAATTGTATATATTAACAAGCAATTACTTTTTGTCACATCGTCACAATGCCGGGCTGCAATTTTTAATTAAATTTAATTTAAAATATATGCTCTCCACCTCAAATTAGTAGTGTCTTGCCCTCGTACATCGTACTTTTCCTTTAACAATAGAGTTGTGCCAGTCATCTATCTAACACCTTTTGGGGGAGAAAGTTTTGAATAACACGAGTTCCAATCTGCATCAGAAGTTCGTATGTAGTTAATCGAGGCCTTCTACCCTAAGGTTCCATATCTGGTCTTGTCTTTCATCTATCTAACTCTGTTCTTGAGATAATAAAGGATAGACAGATGGATGACAGTGGGGATGTATTGGTCTCCAATTTTTTTTCCAAAGCTTTCGGGCTACTATTTTGATATCAAAAGCTTTATAAGAAACAAACTCAATTGGTGTAATAATTTTCGTTGCAGAATATCATATTATTTATATTTCAAATAAACAATTAGTACCATTTGATAAATTTCTAGATTCAATCTCTAACTAAATTTGGCACCATATGTTTCTTATTATTAACTGTCTTCAGCATTAAAAAGAAGCATGAATAAATTTAAATTGTAAAAGATATTTTCATTCATGTGTTTGAGGCTGAAAATTTTTTGGATTAATCACTACATTTCAAATGTGGATTTTTATAGTAGTTAATCAACAGCTTTTTCAACACATTTTAGTAAAATATAAATAATTTCAAACTATATATATTTATAATAATTCCTTTTATTAAATATAAAAATATTTAATCATCTTTTTTTTTTTAAATTTACTGCAACATCTTTTGCAAGTTAACATTAGATTGAAATATCATAAAAAGTAACGACACGTGCAACAAGTTTAAAAATGACTATCATCATTGAGTGTCATCGGTTAAAACGACAAATGTGGGTTCTGTTGCCGCTCCACAGTTGTTATCTTTTTGGCTAAGTAGGAAATAGCCATCGTTTCCCCAATAAGTAGACCATGAATTCTTTACTAACCAATATTTCTCGCCAAATAATTCTCCGTAACCGACGGCTAAGACAGAATGATCCAAATCATCATTTGTGTTTCCTGAAAATAAAACATCACAGCTTTTTAAAAAGTTTTTTTTCATTAAACATTTTACATATAATGCATTAACATTTACAAACTTGCAAAATAATGAGATATTATAAAATTTATACGACGACTTCTAGTATTGATAGAAAGAATTTCCAGTGTTAAATTCTGATGCAAGTTGATTGATCTTATATTATAATTCAGTATAAATTAAAATTTTGATGAACTTTGTTGTGGAAACTGCAATTTGTATATCAAAAAGTTCTGATTTTTTTAAACCATTATTTTGTATTGTGAAAATAAAGGACACTTTTGTGTCCTCTTGTCTTCTGGCTTTGTCATTATTAACAGAAACGATTCGTCGAGACATTTAACATCAGTCAATAATGCCATTTGCTAATGGCCAAAGCATTCTTTGCAGCATTAATACAAGCTGGAAGCGATGACATAAAACATAGTCCAACAACTAGCATTTGGCTAGCCATGCTAAATAACCTTTACGTAAAAATAAACCAGTTGCAGAATTTTTAAAGTTGATAATTAATATTAAATACGTGTGATTATTATAAAGATTTAGAGTTAACCTTTGTTTTCTATAGAATTTTTTAAAACAGAGATTACATCTGGACAACAAACTCTGGCCTTCAATTATTAATATGCACAAATATGTTTTGATAATATCTATTCAAAAATATTTTTTAATAAGTAGAAATAATTAGGAAATATTTGTTGTTTTTTATATACAAGAATTTACATAAAAATTTATATTTTTATTTAAAAAGAAATAGGAAAACCAAATTTTGACACCATGATTTAGCAATTAAAAGCTTATCTTTTATGAAAATGATAGTCATATGCACTAATATCTATCTAATTAAACACCAATTTCTAATTTGTTAATTGATGCTAAATTTTTTAAAGTAAATTTTATGTAACAGTTTTAATTTAAGAAACATATCTCCCATTTAGGAATCACTAAAACTAAATTCATTTCTAAAATCAAATTACAATCATTCTCTTAATAAAATTTGAATGCAGTTGAACCTATCTATCCATCTCAAACACATTTATCTCTAAATTTATTATATTTTTCATGTTTATCTCAGAGATTTTGGGAGAAAAATATTTATCTCATAATTGGTACTTCAGTCCATAATTTAATTTCAAAGCTTGGCAACTACATTTTGATAGCATAAATTGTTGTTGAGAAACTTCTCTTGCAATATGGTAATAATTGTAATCAACAATGCTTTTCTCTGATTATGAGTTGGGTTTGTTTACTGCGACACAGCAGGTGGGCAATCTGCCGAGGGGAATGCCTCCCGGGAGGACTTTCTGCAAGAAACCAGCCCCGTTTGGGTGTTCCAAAAACTATTAGGTGAGGCATGAACCCACAACTAACTACCAGCATTTGGCAGTTTATCCGTTCGACCACTGGTGGGCTAAGGCTACGTTTGGCTTGCATCTTGTTGGTTGAAGAAAGTCTAGCATAAGAAACTACTGACAAACCATTTCTGTTAAGGTATGTCAAAAATGTTTTAATAGTATCTAATGTACTGTATTTGCTATTGTATTAATAAAATACCATACCTCCAAACCTGTTACTGTTTAGGAACCTCTGTCTCAACCTATATCTCCAATTTTTTTTTCTTATTCCCGTGAGATTTGAGATAGGTTCAACTGTATTTGCATTAAAATTTGCAGCAAATAGCTTTCATTTCTTCCACCAGTTTTTGGTAACTATTTTGCTAATTAATGGTAGTTAAATATTATAATTTTTTTAAAAAGTCTTTTTGCCATAATGCATTAACAAAGGTCAGTCAATCATCAAAAATGAAAATATAAATTATATTTAAATAAAATTTAAAAAATCTTACCACAAGCTGGTTNGTTGCCGCTCCACAGTTGTTATCTTTTTGGCTAAGTAGGAAATAGCCATCGTTTCCCCAATAAGTAGACCATGAATTCTTTACTAACCAATATTTCTCGCCAAATAATTCTCCGTAACCGACGGCTAAGACAGAATGATCCAAATCATCATTTGTGTTTCCTGAAAATAAAACATCACAGCTTTTTAAAAAGTTTTTTTTCATTAAACATTTTACATATAATGCATTAACATTTACAAACTTGCAAAATAATGAGATATTATAAAATTTATACGACGACTTCTAGTATTGATAGAAAGAATTTCCAGTGTTAAATTCTGATGCAAGTTGATTGATCTTATATTATAATTCAGTATAAATTAAAATTTTGATGAACTTTGTTGTGGAAACTGCAATTTGTATATAAAAAAGTTTGATTTTTTTAAACCATTATTTTGTATTGTGAAAATAAAGGACATTTTTGTGTCCTCTCGTCTTCTGGCTTTGTCGTTATTAACAAAAACGATTCGTCGAGACATTTAACATCAGTCAATAATGCCATTTGCTAATGGCCAAAGCATTCTTTGCAGCATTAATACAAGCTGGAAGCGATGACATAAAACATGTCGAACAACTAGCATTTGGCCAGCCATGCTAAATAACCTTTACGTAAAAATAAACCAGTCGCAGAATTTTTAAAGTTGATAATTAATATTAAATACGTGTGATTATTATAAAGATTTAGAGTTAATCTTTGTTTTCTATAGAATTTTTTAAAACAGAGATTACATCTGGACAACAGGCTCTGGCCTTCAATTATTAATATGTACAAATATGTTTTGATAATGTCTACTCAAAAATATTTTTTAATAAGTAGAAATAATTAGGAAATATTTGTTTTTTATATACAAGAATTTACATAAAAATTTATATTTTTATTTAAAAAGAAATAGGAAAACCAAATTTTAGCAATTAAAAGCTTATATTTTATGAAAATGAGTCATATGCACTAATATCTATCTAATTAAACACCAATTTCTAATTTGTTAATTGATGCTAAATTTTTTAAAGTAAATTTTATGTAACAGTTTTAATTTAAGAAACATATCTCCCATTTAGGAATCACTAAAACTAAATTCATTTCTAAAATCAAATTACAATCATTCTCTTAATAAAATTTGAATGCAGTTGAACCTATCTATCCATCTCAAACACATTTATCTCTAAATTTATTATATTTTTCATGTTTATCTCAGAGATTTTGGGAGAAAAATATTTATCTCATAATTGGTACTTCAGTCCATAATTTAATTTCAAAGCTTGGCAACTACATTTTGATAGCATAAATTGTTGTTGAGAAACTTCTCTTGCAATATGGTAATAATTGTAATCAACACTGCTTTTCTCTGATTATGAGTTGGGTTTGTTTACTGCGACACAGCACGTGGGCAATCTGCCGAGGGGAATGCCTCCCGGGAGGACTTTCTGCAAGAAACCAGCCCCGTTTGGGTGTTCCAAAAACTATTAGGTGAGGCATGAACCCACAACTAACTACCAGCATTTGGCAGTTTATCCGTTCGACCACTGGTGGGCTAAGGCTACGTTTGGCTTGCATCTTGTTGGTTGAAGAAAGTCTAGCATAAGAAACTACTGACAAACCATTTCTGTTAAGGTATGTCAAAAATGTTTTAATAGTATCTAATGTACTGTATTTGCTATTGTATTAATAAAATACCATACCTCCAAACCTGTTACTGTTTAGGAACCTCTGTCTCAACCTATATCTCCAATTTTTTTTTCTTATTCCCGTGAGATTTGAGATAGGTTCAACTGTATTTGCATTAAAATTTGCAGCAAATAGCTTTCATTTCTTCCACCAGTTTTTGGTAACTATTTTGCTAATTAATGGTAGNCGTTACTTTTTAAAAACCCAGCGAAGCGGGTCCTTGCAGCTAGATTCTAGATTACTTAGAAAAACAGTCTTTTATATATATAAAAAACTATATTACATACAAATGTACGAACAAATAAAAACCCAGCGAAGCGGGTCCTTGCAGATAGTAGTATATAAAAATATAATCCAGCCACGAGTGCTTAACTTTCCCGGCAACATTTAAAACTACGTGTGGTGCCATCTGTTATGATATTTTATTAAAAATTTTTTATATTTTTAACTATTATAAAAATATAATCCAGCCACGAGTGCTTAACTTTCCCGGCAACATTTAAAACTACGTGTGGTGCCATCTGTTATGATAACTTATTAAAAATTTTTTATATAAATTGATTGTAATGTAGATGTATAATTATGGAAACACAGCAAGGAAAATGATTTTGGGGAATTTATTGTATCCTGTTATTATGAGAACAGTTTTATGAACAAATACAGAACTTTTTAGCCATTGTGATCAATCCCTTCCAATGCCAGTGCCTCATCTTCATATGGAATTTGCTTGTAGAACACACGATAGATTGGATGAAGAAACTGAAGGAAACTCAACAAAGTCCAATATTTTACTGCTGCAATTTTATGGTTTCTTGTATGCTTGTTCAAGATGAATACCTTGCACTGAAAAATTTCTCTTTGGTCCTCTTTCCCAAAATGAGCCTGCTGTGACTTGAGAATTTGCATTTTAGAAATGTTATACCAGAGGTGAAAAATACTTAGGGTTTTCAGGAGGTGCCAATTCTGAATCTAAAATGGTTGAAAATCTCAGCCAAAATGGACCAAAAAGAATCAAACCAAGAAGTCATGAACAAAGCAATACTGGCAAAATGCTATAATAGATTATATTATTTTTGTTTTTGTGTGTGAGTTTTTGATACAATGGCCTTATTAGACCAAGGAATACCACAGTATGACAGAAGGATTAGGTTAGTCTGCAACTGTTTACAGTGGTGATATATAGCATAGAGTGTAGAGATATGTTTTGTGAGGCAAGGACCCATTGGATTTGTCCATTGTCATCCAATAGCATACACAGTGCTTTATTGTCATCTGGAAAGGTTTGTTGTAATGATGGAGTTCCTTGTGTTATTGAAAACAAGTTAAAAGTATGCAACGACTGTAAGAAAGGTCTGAAAATTAATGTAAACCGGTTGTGTTTCTGCTGTCAATTATAATAACTGTTAAATACACTTACTCTCTGGTTATAAATTGTTACAAACTGTTCTTTTACAAACAGCATCTGTTATCACTCATACAGATACAGGCACTTAAGATGTTGATAACACATACAATATAGTTCATATGGAACAAATTTTAAAATACAGCAGCAAAATCAAAGGATTATTCCACAAACAAATCACAGTGAGCCAAGTGAGATGTAGCCTATTATATGAAAGGTTGTCTTCAATAAGTAATTTGAAACAAAGGACAACCAAGTGACATAGTAGACTCTTCTTAAGAAAATTCAAACTTCCAGAACATGATTATTAATCAAATGGTAGATGTGACTGCTTCATTTACCCAACAGATGTACTTAAGCAAGAATGTAAACATTACTTGGCAGACTACAATTCTAACTGACTCATATTTATACAAGCTGGTTACATATACAATGCATTCCATCAAATAGTAGTTGTATTATGAATTGCCATTTTCTACATATTTTGCTTTTATTCAAAAGAAAGTTTCTGAGCAGTGACCAATATGGTTTCGTGCATGGAAACAACTAAGAAAGTGAATCTCATTCGTCGACACTAAATTCTGGCATTAACAAATTAATCAAAATGTTTCTTCTATTCGTGCAACAAAACCCGGCCACTGCTCCTCACATACTGCATGAACTTCCTGTCATTACTTTCTTGAGGACACTTATTTGTGACACATCCTGTATAACAAACAGTAAAAATTTACAAAATTGATCCAAAAATCTGAGGAAATAATCCAGACAAAAATCAAAAAGTTTTTATTTCGACTGTAGTTTTTTTTAATATTAACAATTTGATTATCTTACAAATTTTGATTGTAACAAAAATGTTGTCCTCGAAATTTATTAAAAATAAATTTTAACAAACCTGTCCAATATATGAGCCATAATCATCTTCGGTTGCTAGGCCACCAACATCTTTAATGTATCGATACGCTCTGTAGTCTTCTCCACCATCACAACCGTTATTTTGAAAGTTCCAACTACAATCAATCAATTGTTGCTGAGATAAACGAACTAATTTTTTTGTCTAAAAGAAAACAAAGTATACATATTTTCATTATATTTATATTTTTATATTTATTTCCTATATAACAAAATGAATAAAATATATGTATTAAAATAACAATTTGCCGAGTAAGTTCTCAAAAATTTATTTTTAATTATTACCAATAAAAAAATAATTCAATTTCATTAAAATTACTTAAAAAGTACCACTAGATTGGTTTGGCTAATAGAACGTCACATTAGTCTGTAGTACAAATTCGGACCTCCTTTAGCGTCCAATTTCCTTGGCACCAACCATTCGGTTCTCTTTCAAACGAGAACTCGTGAATGATTCTGGCAAGTGACGTGTTTAGAACACAATCACCCATCAGAATCATTTCTTTCTTTTTGTTCTATTTGCTATGAATTAGTGGGGCCATACACTCAACACATTATAATTGGCTACTTTAACTTGAAAAATTTTAAATACTATTCAAATGGATATAAAAACACGAATTGTCCTAAGAGAATTAATAATTTAATGACTTCCTATAAAATTAAGGAACAGTACAAAATTACTGAGCATCACTTTTATCTTCTACATACACAACACAAAACCATGTATATAGCATGTAACAAAGTATTACTATAAAATTTTTCACTTTCAATAATTATAAAAAATTTTTTTATTTCTAGCCAATAAATATAAAATATTCTTTCAATTGTGACTTAAGATTACCTTCAAAAAGTAAGCTCCTTCAATTGTGCCTGTGGTTCCAAAACTCCAACAAGAGCCACAGATAGCTTGATCTTTAACTGGAGTCACGGCACCTGAAAAAAAAAATTTAACTTAAATAATTAAATGTTTTATACAAGTTAAGTTAACTATTAATTTCACATCCTGAAATTTATAATAAAATAATTTTATTTCTTTAACTTTGATTTATATAATTTGACTTCTATTTCTTGAATTCTCAAGTTAAAGAATTTTTCTTTTTTGAGAATTTATATACTGTATTTCATTAAGGAGTTAAAAATATGTTTTGCCTTCATTCAAGACTTAGAAAATAAAATAAATTTTTAATCATCATCATACATTTGATAAAAACAATTTATTTAGATAAATTTTAGAATAATAGATATTAACTTTATAATTAATATGAATTACATATTTATAAAAGATGTAAGGAAATACTTTTATACAAAATCTGTGATATCATTTTCATTTTATTTAAAATACAGAAAAAAAATTCTCTTTCCATCAAATAATAACAACAACATGTCAGTCTTTAGTTAAAAGCATTCTAGTTCAAAATTTTAAATCAAAATTATATAAAAGAAATGAAAAAAATTACAAATATAATAATAAAGAACTTAAAAATTTATAACTAATCTTTACCAAAAGAGATTAAAATTACTAAAAAGCTTTTTTAAAATCAATTTTTTACCATTAACATTTACAATTAAATTTTTTAACATGTTACATTTTAATTACCATATAATCTCCAATCTAAACTTTCTGGCACGTCTCTATCGTATAACTCTACGTCGAACGCTTCGCCGCCATTATATTCGGTCGTCGGTAATCTGCCTCTCATAGTCCATAATTCGTCGTCGGTGAAATCTGCCAAGTGGTTGACTGCCAATTTAAACGATAAACCGGCCCGATTCTTTGAATTTATGAATCTATAAACAAATTCGACACTCTTTATAATATTTTATTAATTTCAATTTCTGTTTTTATTGGAGTAACAAACAAAATACAATACTTTCCCAAGAACTTGCAGATTAATAGTCTTTCAATAATAGTCATAACTACAATTTTAAATTTATTTTAAAAAATTATTTTATAAAAGTTTTACTTTCCTGTATATGTAATTATATATGTTCTGAGTATTTTACAAATCTCTACATTTTACAACCTCTGAACCCAAAAAAGTAAGAAAAGAAAAGGAAAAAGTTCCATGTGCGTGTGTGTTTTGGCATCTTTTTTCATTTATTATCTCAAAATAGAGTAATAATTAAGAAATTAAATTTGGCATAGTAGCTTGTGTATTAGGAAGACTGATGCTATTACAGTTTGCTGGTTAAAGATCGAGGATTAGGAAGATATGGGAGGTGTCAGACATAATGAAGATTTTACTTGTTATTAGCATTAACAATTTTTTGTAAAAACTTATCTTTACCCTCAGAATTAAGCTTTTTGATATTTTATGATTAATAATATAAAACTTTTTTATAATAAAATCTCATAATAAATGGTGCCACAAAAATTTTATTTATTGTGATTAATAATATAAGAGTTATTTTTTAAATAAAATCTCTTAAAAGCTGGGAAAATGGTCCAAGTGCAGTATTTAAAAAATCCACAACTCATTGCTGGATTTTTTAAATACTGTACTTGGACCATTCCAAATCTTAATCATCCAAACATGGGTATACACAGAAAATTTTAGAGAAAAGATCAGAGACAAATAATCTATATATATATATATTATTGTGATTAATAATATAAGAGTTATTTTTTAAATAAAATCTCTTAAAAGCTGGGAAAATGGTCCAAGTGCAGTATTTAAAAAATCCACAACTCATTGCTGGATTTTTTAAATACTGTACTTGGACCATTCCAAATCTTAATCATCCAAACATGGGTATACACAGAAAATTTTAGAGAAAAGATCAGAGACAAATAATCTATATATATATATATATATGTGTGTGTATAAAAGTAGACATGTTTGTGCCTATATGTCACTCTGCAGCCAAAACTACACATCGCACATGAATGGTGTTTGTGTGTGGTAGTAACCCCAAGTCTCCCATTGTGCACTATGGTGATTGCGTTTCAATAGCTATAAGGGTGTAGAGATATGGGGTTTGAAAATGGTTGACTTCAAAAATGTGTGACACTTCAATGAGAATGTTCTGGTTTTTTCTAGAAAGTTCCAGAACCTAGAGTTCAAATTTGGTACACAGTTAGGGTACATCATGAAAATGCACACTAAGAAGGTATTTTTCGAAATTCTCCCACAGGGGAGAGGGAGAGCATTAAGGCTTAACCTGAAGAACGGCTTCTACTGTACTATTTTAGATGAGATTTTTTTGTTTTCAGTTACGTTTAGTCTTCATTGAGTACTTAGGTGTATTAAATTGATAACATTTCAGACATTATTATAAATATTTTTTATATATTTTGATTTTTTAACCAAATGTTCAAACCATTTTAAATTCAAATTTTTTATTGCATATCGGTTCGATTATAGAATGATTGTAAATGATCCAGAAAATTTATCAAATTAAAAACAGTTCGTTTGATTCTCGGCAATTCTCACCATTCCCAGCGGTAGGTGTTAAATAACAATTACTGTGGTTGTTGAAATATTGAATGTAAATAGGGTTTGCTTGCAAAATCTGTGCAAGCGAAGCCGCAGGTAACAGCTAGTTATATTATATAATTAAATAAATTTTTTGATTTTTTGGGGTTTTACACAAGTAGATTACAAAATACAGTATTGTGTCATAGTGTCCCGTGGTCAAGGATATAAGGTCACACATCTTAGTCACTTATGATTATAATTTCTGGAGTTCCACAGAGAGGGGCAAGTGCCTGGTTTGCTCCCCTCTGTGGCTGCTCATAAGTCAAAAGTTAATAAAGTTTTACAAGGTCTCCCATTAATGCTTCTAAACAAGTTCCACAATTTTTTCAAAAATATATTTTAATTATTTTTAAAAATAAAAATATGGGTTCCATTAGAGCAGGGGTCTTCAACCTGGGTTCCCTGGAACGTTGATAGGGGTTCCGCAAGTGATCACTATTTGCTTGGTCAAAACGCATGTAAAATGGAAATCATCTATACAAGGAATATTTCATGTAGGAACAGGGTAGTGGACTGTCTTATTAAAACATTAGATTAATTTAATATTTAGGTAAAAATTACAATATTAATATAAATTGGATACAAAGTGGCAGTTGATTTTAAAAAGTAAATATAAATAAATATTTTATGGATAAAATAAAATCTTGAAATTCAGTAAAAGTCACATGCTTCAAATACACCAATCAAGATTCCTGACATCACACATTAGTTCTGTTAATCTCATTCTGTCTGTTAAATACAATCACGTACAAGTGAGTATTTATTTTGTTTTTATATCATAATTGATAACTTTTATTATTTATTTACAATTTAATTAGACTACTGTAGCAATAATGGATATGTGGTTGAAAACTGGTAAGCTTCATTCTACAGATGAGGGAACTAGTTTCGCTACTACTGTTGAAAATGAACCAGATGTTAGTACCAAAAAGTTGTCTGGTGATTCAGATTTACCCATTTGTAAAAAGCAGAAGTATAATGAAGAATACATAAAATTTGGTTTTACATGGATTGGTGATGAAAATGAACCGAAAGGGTTGTGTGTTGAATGTGAATGTGTGATGCAAAACAGCAATTTAAATCCCACAAAATTGAAAAGACATTTGGAAACAAATCATCCAACTTTACAAAATAAAAATGTTGAGTATTTTAAAAGAAAATGTAATGAGTTGAAGAATAGAAAAAAAGATCTTTATGAACTTTGTTAAAAACGATAATGATAATGCTTTGGAAGCATCGTATCGTGTCAGTTATCGTATTGCTCAACAGGGTATAGCTTATATGATCACAAAAAAATTAATTAAGCCATGTGTAAAAGATGTAGTTACTACCATGATTGGGGAAGAACATGCTAAATTTGTTGATCGTATCCCGCTTTCGGATACTACAGTTTCAAGGCATTTTAAAGATATGTCTAATTTTTGTGAAAATGAGCTCATAAGACATTTGCAAGCTTCTGAACATGGATTTACTATTCAACTTGATGAAACTACAGATATAGCTGGATTAGCGATCTTGCTCGTTATTGTGAGATATATCCATGGAATGGCTACTCAAGAAGATATGCTAATTTGCAAAAGTCTGCCAACCAGAACGACAGCGGAAGAAATTTTTAATTTGATAGATTCGTATTTCAAAAAGCAAGATATATCTTGGGATTTATGTCATCAAGTATGTACCGACGGAGCCAAGCAAGCATGTAAATTGAACGGCATAGTTACACGCATGAAACAAAAAAATCCTCACATGAGAAGTACTCATTGTTGTCTTCATTGACGAGCTCTTGCAGTAGTGAAAATGCCAGAAGAGCTAAAAGATGTACTTAATGATTGTGTTAAAATTATAAATTTTATCAAATCAAGGCCATTAAATTCAAGAGTTTTCAATTTATTGTGTGAAAATATGGAAAGTTTATATAAAACACTACTGTTGCACACAGACGTCTATTGGTTATCTTGTGGAAAAGTGTTAGCAAGATTTTGCAAATTAAAAGATGAAATAAGAATTTTCTTATCTGAACATGCACCTCAATTAGCTCAAAAATTAAATAATGCAGTTTGGTTTCAGAAAATGGTATATCTAGCAGATATTTTTACCTATTTAAATGAGCTCAATACATTGCTCCAAGGAACAAATATCAATATTTTCAAGGTACAAAGTAAAATTGATGCTACTCTTTTAAAATTGAAATTTTGGGCAGATTGCATTTTGAAAGGAAATATTGAATGCTTTCCTAATTTGCACAATATTTTAGTAGACAGTAACGCTAATCTCGATAAAAATGTAAAAAATAATTTGGATAATTTCCCCAGCAAAAAACATTTCGTGAATGTTTTCCTGTTCAAAAAGAAAAAAATTATCTTGAATTCAAAACGCTTTTCAAGACTGTGACACCTCCGAACTCCCAATAAAAGAAAGAGAACAACAAATTGATATATCGACCGACATTCAATTGAAACTAAAATTTAATCAAATTGATATTATGCATTTTTGGATTGACATTAGGAATGAATATCCTGAAATTGCCAAAAGAGCTGTGAAACATCTAATGTCATTTGTATCAACCTATGTATGCAAAAACTCTCTCTCTTTGTATGCTGCCACAAAAACAAACTACAAAAACAGATTGGATGCTGAAGATGACATTAGGTTGCAGATTTCAACAATTATTCCTGATGTAAAAATGCTTTGCGATAAAAAACAAGCGCAGTCAAGTCATTAAAAGAATTTTCTTTTTATTCATTTGTTATAATATAAAATATTGTTCCTTTTGTTAATTATTCATAAAATGACTTACTTCTGCTGTAAACCAAAACAGTGCTTATTTCAAAATATTTTCACAAACGTTTTCGAACTTAGTTCTTCAGGTGAATAAAACGGGTAGAATCGATGTTATTTGAAATCTGAACGCAATGTTCTAAGGAAACTCGTGCAATCATCGTGTTAAACTTGCGCATGCTCCGTAGATAGAAGGATCGCTTTTGGCTTCTCAAGTGTCGTAAATAAGAGTTTGCCATGCTATCGATAAGGATAGTTCATCCTTATTGTTTATACACTTATCTTCTCTTGCTGTTTTATAGATATATATCGCTTCCATCCATTGCAAATGGTGTAGTAGCTGTGTGGTGTAAATTATCTTTGCCTCTTCAAATACAGCTTGTATGTCAGGGTCTGTGGCATATTGTGCTAATGCTGTAGTATATCTTTTATGTAGGATGTCTGCTTTGTGTTCTTTGATCCTCACCTCCAATGATCTTTTTATGGACCCCACGTATACTAAGTCTTTATCACACCTATCATCTTTTATACTACAGCATTAGCAAAATATGCCACGGACCCTGACATACAAGCTGTATTTGAAGAGGCAAAGATAATTTACTCCACACAGCTACTACACCATTTGCGCTGGATGGAAGCGATATATATCTATAAAACAGCAAGAGAAGATAAGTGTATAAACAATAAGGATGAACTATCCTTATCGATAGCATGGCAAACTCTTATTTACGACACTTGAGAAGCCAAAAGCGATCCTTCTATCTACGGAGCATGCGCAAGTTTAACACNCAAACTCTTATTTATGACACTTGAGAAGCCAAAAGCGATCCTTCTATCTACGGAGCATGCGCAAGTTTAACACGATGATTGCACGAGTTTCCTTAAAACATTGCGTTCAGATTTTGAATAACATCGATTCTACCCGTTTTATTCACCTGAAGAAGAACTAAGTTCGAAAACGTTTATGAAAATATTTTGAAATAAGCACTGTTTTGGTTTACAGCAGAAGTAAGTAGTTTATTTTACAGTGTGTATAGAGGAGATTATTTATTCATAAAACGTATTCTAGAAAAAAAATAAAACCTGATTTGCTACCTCATTATTCATTGTCTTATTAAGATGTTTGTATTAAGATTAAATAAAGATATAAGAATAATTTTGCAAATTCTGAGTAAAAAAAGTATATATAAACATCGCTAAACCCGATGTAATATAGCTAATCACCAAACATATGCCGTAAATCCATCGGGCTAGTTTTAAGGCTAATTACTAAATAAATTACGTTTGGTGATTAAAAAAAGTATAGTAGAAAAAATGAGTAGAAAAAAAAATTTGAGTAGAAAAAAGCTTTGATAAACTATTTTATCTGTTACTTAAACATGAGGTTCCTTCAAGAAAACCATGAGCTCGAAGGATTCCTAAAAGTGTAAAAGGTTGAAGACACCTGCATTAGAGGCAATAACATGACTTGTAAAATGATCTGCTTTGAACAGTTAATATTTAAAATAAAGGCCAGTTTATACTTTGAGAATGAAAAGAAAACAACACTACATTGATTAAGTGCACAACACTTAATCAATGTTTCACTCTCTTTTGGCTCATGGTAAAAGTAGAATAAAGTTCTAATATTCTCTATTTTATATTCCACAATTCTTTCTGGAGACTGTCGACAAATGGTTTTTATTTCTACTTTTATATAGATATTATCTGTATATAGTGGAAAGTAAATTATCCAAATTTGAATAAATATTAATTTATTCAAATTTGTAAATGTATTACATTTTCTTTATACAATTCAAAAATGTATTGCATTTTCTTTTGCTATTTTGAGATATGAACATTTACAAGGAGGCAAACAACAGAAAAGAAAACAGATACTTGCTAGAGATATTGCTTTTCTTTTTCACAAAGTATGAACTGGCCTTAAATGTTCAGAAACCTTAAATTGTTATTCTAAGAACTGTTTTATTGTGAATACTTTGAAGATAGACTTTATTGGTCCAGAAGTATCAGAAAAGTATTGTACTTTATGGCATATAAGATGCATTCGTTTTGATGCAGAATATTTACAAAAAAACTATTTAGTGTATTTTCCCATAGCCTACCAAAGGCCATTGAGGGGAATTTGTTAGCCTACCAGAGATGGCAACTCAGAACACAATAAGTGATTTTTTTCACCAGTTACCTTTTCTTTGTTATAATAAACTTGTATCTTATTCACTGTAAATACAGTATTTTTTTAATGAATTTGTAAGCAGTTAGTGTTTTCTGAGTTCCTACATCATTATGATTTAACACATTAAATAGAAAAAACATTGCATTCATTTTAATTGATAAAATTATTCAATTAAAGTAAATGGAATATTTTAATAACTATTATTAAAAATATCAAATGTTGTTAAAATGAATAAAAAAAATTTAGGCAAGAGAAAATATTAATAATATGAGGTGCAACCAGAAAGTACCATTTGGCTATTTAAAAAAGTAGGCATTTGAAAGAAAATTACTTAATTACCATTATACACCCACAACTGCCGTAAATGATTGGGCTAAATTTGGATATAATGATTATAAATTAGAAATGAATTTGGCACTAGAGTGAGGCATTAGGCACTATATTTTAATACAAGATGGTGCCAAATATTACGGCATTAAAAGAAGACATCAACAGTACTTGTGCTGAGATGGTGTATGGCACAACCCTTCGTCTCCTGGCAGAGTTCTTTCATCCTTCGCGGAAACCTTCAACAGATCCATCATCCTTCCTCCATCACTTACGATCCACAATGCAGTCACTCACGCCAACTCCAACATCTGCACATGTAAAACCCTCACACTTTGTTCATCCAGCACTCGACACCTGCTCCTACATTTTTATGCAGATAGAAGGGCATAGAACTTCCCTGATTTCCCCTTATGATGGTTCCTTCCCAGTTACTACACAGACACCCAAGCATTTCACAATCATAGCCAATGGAAAGATGACAACAGTTAACTTCGACCAACTGAAGCCAGCATTTTTGAACAGCAATAACGTCAGTACATCTTTAAACTTGTACAGGACAACATGTCCAGACTCTCCAAAATGACCGATTATAAATACTCTGAGTGACTCTGCACCTACCAACACGACGATGACACAATCGGGAAACAGAGTTAGGTTCAACCCCCAATACCTCTAACTCCATACCTACGGTGCTGGGGGGGGGGTACTGTGGCGACAGCTTTGGTCATAAATCCAAAAGTCGCCACCAGAAGGAACTCTGAACTGGCAACCTGACTATGATCTCACTTTTGGATTCAGATTTTGCTCTGTACGCACATGTTCTCAATTCTATGTTCATCTGGTAGTGTAGCATCATATATCATATACACAAGAAATTAAAGATTAAGTTTTTTGTATGTAGCCTGATTTTGTATTGTAAGATAATTCATTACAAAAGTAGCGCTACATAACTAACTATGTATGTGTGACCTTGACATTGCCAAAATGCAAATGGTATTTATTTTCTGGATGTGCCTCATATTTATCATTACTACTCACCTATAATTATGCCTGAAAATATTCATTCTTTTCAAATGTTCTATATCATTTGAATAATTTTTGTTATGTGTATTTTTAAAATTATGAAAAGCATCCTGAACATGCTTATCTTCACCATCAACAAATTCCTTGGCTGGATTATGCAGAGAAATAAATTCAACTCCAGGGCCTGGGAAAGCTCTGCAAGTGAGATCTATATTTAGAAAAACAAAAAACAATGCATAAAAATTAATTCAGATTTAAAAAAAATTTATAAACGATAGCACAGGAAGCTTAAAAAAGTAACTATCTTTTTATATACACTACTGGAAAATAAAAAAAGACACCCTGAAGCCATTGTCCAGGAGAAGGAAAATTTTATTCATACACACTATAGGTAGTATACTGTACACAATCATTCACATGGAGCCAAATGTGTATGAAAGAATCTGCAGGTGTGTCAAAGACTATTTCAGTACTCTGTTACTTTACTCTAGCAGCAATGTAGACTGCAACCCTCACATGGAAACAATCAGAGAGATGACAAATATATAATAAACTTTCCAAAGTCTGATACATTGATAAGCAACCAAACAATCACTGTAATTAATCAGGCTATAGATTTGCTATTACCTAATGTCTACCTCTAATATCAAATTACTTAATATCTAATCATTAATAATAGCAAATTTATAGCCTGATTTAATTACAGCAATCGTTTGGTTGAGATGACAAATATCATTTGTGAAATGGAGTTCATGCATATTTCACCTGGTGGCACATTTTGGCAAGGGTGTTGTGATGTCAAAGACCAGGCCAGGGCCAGACGACATTTAATCTAGTCCCATACTTGCTCAATAAGGGCCAAGATCATGCTGCCGGCCAGAGAATTTGATATATACCTTAGAGAGCATATTGGGTTGCACGCAGTGGCGTAGCAAGCGGGGTGCAAGGGCATGCACCGTATCATGCACCAGGCGCCCCTCTGCAAGTGGCGCCCAAATGGTCTCCAAGACAAACTATGGGTGCATTTACTTTTTGCTAGCTTCCAAGCTTGCCAAGCTGACACCTAGCGCAGCCTGACATCATACTAGCATGCTGGTAAAAGTATACACAGTAATGAATGCCACCATCTTTGAACAAACTCCAAGCTCATTGTAAATTCTCCAAGCACTCCGAACGCTCTATGAATGCCAGCAATGACATCACGGGTGCGAAAAGTAAACGCCATGCTCATTGGTAGCTAACAAAAAGTATACAGACTGAGTGTGCTAGGGGCAAAATCGGAGCTAAAAGTAAACGCACCCAATATGTGTTTCTGGAGGGGGAAGGGTGTGCCAATAAAGTGTCGTGCCCCGGGTGCCAGTTATGTTCGCTACGCCACTGGTTGCATGACCAATTTGTAGAAAGACATTGTCCTGTTGAAATAGCATATCTCCCTGTTGTTGCAGAAAAGGCAGCAGAATACAGGATGACATTCTGGATGTATCATGCACTGGTCAAATGTCCTCCATTTGCACAAATGGGCATTGTAGGCTACAGCTCCTCATACCATGATTCCAGCTGATGGTTCTGTGTACCACTGCTGTATACATAATGGAAGATTTTGCTCACCACCTGGTCAATGCCACAAATGCAAGCCATCATTAGCACAATGGCAAAATGTGCTTTCATTATAGAATACAAGTTATCATGTGTCCCCCTCCAGGCACTCCTTTCTCAATAATATACAAGTCTGTTTAATATACAAACTAAAAAAAAATATTGAACAAAAGTAACAATTTTAATAAAACAATGGGATGGTTATGACAGCAAAAACATGATACTGTGCCTTTCAAAACAGTACATATGATCAGCCTAAATCTGGAGAATCTTCAGCACATCTTTTTGCCATGGATCAACTGCCAGTTTGGCTGCAAAAAATGAATGACAGCAGAATAATGCATCAATACATAAGCCAATACATACATGAGTCATCCAATACTTCCAGGCCAACAATGTGAATGGTCCACACTGGTCTGAAAATCCAGATTTAAATATCACAGAAAATATCTGTTATCTTTTAGAAGTGCAGATATATCGAGTCTAACAGTATGAAAAACATGGAGGAACTTGATGCCATTAATTGGACTTGCCATATTTAAATAAAGCTGTAATCAAGGGCAGGGACAAAATCTTCCCAATGTTGGCAAAGTTGCACCATCAACCAAGTAAAATAGCAAGGCAATTTTTGGGACAAGACTATGTCTTAAAGACTCACTACTAAGCTGGATCACTTCAATGCTCGCGGTGGGTCTCGTTCTCATTCTCCAATCTTTTTTGGTATCGCTGGTTTTGAGCACAATTGTTCAAACTTTGCCGGCCTCGGCCACACCCACAAGGTCATCCACGATGCATTTTCAGTGAAATTAACCTATCCAATGTTGAAATTTCTCTCCGTTGCGTGCCACCCCAGGTTGAATTTTTGTTGATGCCTAACAAAAATTTCCCGTGTTTGAAAAAAAATAATCATGGTATTGTATCATCTGAACTTATTTTTTTATTTTGCACAAACAAAATAAATATATTAATAAATGTAAAATCAAAATATATTTCGGAAGTTAGTTTTAATATAAAATTATAATGACTAGTGCCATCTAGTTTCAAAAATACACAACATTCGCATTTCCAACTTCCCAATGAGCAATGCATATGCAAATCTTGCACAAGCACCTGTTTGTAGAAAGAATGTCACCATTTTGTATTTTATTTTAAAAAGCTATTTGTATCAGTTTGCAAAAATCAGCTTCCATACCCAGACATCCACGGTGATAAATGTCTAAATATGGCTATGATCGCAAACATTTATATTCCAAAGTGAGTTTTTGAGTTGATGGAAAAACGAGAAAGTCAGATATAGTGAAAAAACCAGACCTATGTTCCTGACTTTGACATATGTGCATGGCTCTTAGTTGATAAGATTTTATTAAAATTAACAAATACGAGTATTATATGAGTATTACCATGTATTATATCCATGTTAAAAACTTTAATGGAATCTCACATCCACACTGTCTCTATCATTTCAAACTTCTACACTACAAGTGCATTAAGGAGATCAAATCAATATGCCAAATAGTGAAAAATATTTTGCCTAGGTATGTAATTGTACTGTACTGGTACATGCCTATATGTTATTTTTATATGTAAATAATATATTGACTATACCATTTTCCTTTTATATAAAATAAATATATAAACTAAAAATATAATTATATAATATTTAAAATATTAAAAATTATTTCAAGATAAACTCATTAAAAATAGGTATGATATAAAATATTCTATTGTTAGATATGTCAGAAGAATATGTAATGCTTTATTAATTCTATATTAACCGAATATAATATATAAGACTTCTAGATCTCTACTATGCTAATTAATTAACTTACAATAAATAAAACTTACTTTCACCAATTTCAAAATTAATTGGGTTGATAGGTTCTGCACTGTAATTCTCATATATTAAATCATATTTATCATAATGAGAACCCAATAATGAATCATATCCTTTCATATGATAACGAACTGGTACTACTACGTTATCTTTTCTAAGAAGCCACATTATATATTTATTAACTTTAGAACCTTCAGTTATAGTATATTCCCATTTTTCACAATGTTCACTATTATAAATTTCTTCAACTGGGCAAAGTTCTTGACCTGCATACTATAAAAAAAAATATTTCTGATATCAACTTAATGTTAAAAAAATTAATATTTATTTCAGTTTAAAATTTTATAGATTATAAGGCTAAAACATGAAAGAAATTATACGAAGAAATTAATGCAGGTGAAACTAAACATACACAAAGTTAATGCTGAACGATCTGCCATCTGTCGGGCTATATTAAAGCCAAATTAAAAATTAAATATAAAGTAAAGTAATTTGGTCAGAAGTAGCCTGACAGATAATCTGGCAGATTGTTTGGCATTAATTAAAAATTAGGCTATTGGATTTGTTGCTATACACACAATTTTTAGTAAACAAATATTACCACAGCTTGGCTTTTCACATTTCTCTCTTTTTTTTTTCTTTTTATATATATAGTAAAAACTATTGTAAATCACAGATATTATCATACTAATTATGATGACATCAAATGACTTATGTCCGAAAAAACATAAGAAGTTATAAAACTTTGCTTATTGTCATCATTATCTTCAGGAAAATAGTTAAAAATTCCTGTCTGTCTGTCCTGACAGTCTTTGAAACATACATTAATCATTTTAATTCTAATTTACTAATAGTATTGTAACTTAAATTGCTGATGTTTCTTACTTCAATCATCATAAACCTATATGCTAGCTGTTGTTAAAAAGGTAATGAACAGGCAAAACAATACTAGATGAATTATTATTATTACTATTAATTACACATTAACTAATAACATACAATTTAACTGTTTTAACATGTCCTTTACTACCTGATTATAAGAAGTGAAAATTCTGGGTTTATTAAATTCTATTTAGTTATATTACTATTAGGATTCCTTATACTGATAATGATAACTAAATTACAGTAAGTGGATTCTACTGTATCTTAACTTTACACGGTGTTCAAGTTTACAACTTAAAAAAAAAAAAAAAAATGTAGACATTTACAATCAAAACACCAGAGCAGGGGATGGGCAAGCCATGGCATGCCTTAGAAATTTTTCTAGTATGCTTATGCACACCTTAAATAAATATATCATCATCCTTGCTAAGTTGTATATTCAATTCAATTCAATTCAAGTTTATTAACGTAATTTGGAAAATATTCCAGTTACAAGGGGTGCATTGGGTTACAAATATTAGTAAATATATATCTTCCGACAATAAATAATTATTATGTAAATTTCTTCTATTCTTAAATTTAATCATTCTATTATAATATTAAACAAAAATTAGAACAACAACAAAATTAAATATATATATTATTCCTTAAGGCTCTCCACCGTTTTCATATATTTAATAATGAACTGATAAATTCTGATAATCATAGTTGGACCCATCTGAAATATTTTTTGATAGAATTCTTGCATAGATTTGATAGCTGACAAGGTAGAAATACCAGTCTGTTCTCTAAGTTTGGAACAATCTATGCACAAACTAATTATATGATACACAGAAATTTGGTCATTACATAGCTTACATTGTTTATTCCTAATGTCCAAATAATTTCCTTCAACTATGATATAAAAACTGTTTAATCTGATCTGCATATAAAATCTTTTTATCCCAAATGGTATTTTATAATGAATATAATTACTTGCTGGAGGGAAATTTAGATTAACTATATACCATGGGTGTATGGGTGAACTGAGCTAAGTTGTATATTTTAACTTAATGAAATAAAATTTTATTGAGTAGAGTAAAGTAAATAAAAATACTATCAACTGTTTTAGTAATAACTAGCTGTTACCCGCGACTTTGCCCACGGCGGTTCTGCAAGCAAACCCCATTTATATTCAATATTTCAATAACCATAGTAATTGTTATATAACACCTACCGCTGAAGAGAATTGCCGAGAATCAAACAAACTATTTTCAATTTGATCAATTTTCGGGAACGTTTACAATCGTTCTATAATCAAACCAATATGCAATAACAAATTCGAATTTAAAANACTAAAATATAAATTCATAATACTATGTAATGATTGTTGATTTAAATTTTATAATAATAAGTGACATTTTATCAACAAATTTATACAGGGTGTTCAGAAATTCCCATTACAAACTTCTAGGACTTGAAGAGGGGAGTGAGTACATAATATTCATGTCCGGAAACGTACCGTTTCCATTCTACGATGGTTTCAATTCAAATGTTTTCTCTTTCCCTCAGCAGAAGTGGAAGAGTTAAAGTCTCAGAGTTGCTTGTCCTACATCATCCTGTCTACCCTATTGCATACCAGGACAAGCAACTCTGAGACTTTTCTCTTTCTCTCAGCAGAAGTGGAAGAGTTAAACATCTGAATTGAAACCATCGTAGATTGGAAACCGTACGTTTCCGGACATGGGTTCCTAATCAAAATATTATGTACTCACTCCCCTCTTCAAGTCCTAGAAGTTTGTAATGGGAATTTCTGAACACTCTGTATATTGTGTTAATGAATTAAAATTGAATTAAATCTTCACATTAAAAAACAATTATATAAGCTTATTGCTAAAGTAAAACTAATTGAATAATTACTACAATGATTTAATTAGTTCTACTTTAGCTATAATCTTAAATCTTTTATATTGAAACAATTATGAAACTTTTATTTTTAAATCTTATCATTATTATTGATCTTTAGAGAATAAATATAAATATATAAAATGTTATAAAAACCATACTTTTGAGATGACAAATCTTTCATATAGAGGTGAAGGTAGCTGAATAAATTTACAAAATATAAAAAACTGCCAGTAAGTTATTTTATAAAATAATATCAAAAACACTATATATATATATATATATATATATATAATTATTATATAGGATAGNTTAAATATCAATTATTTTACTATCTTATATATAAAAACATCTTTAAAACTTATTGAGATTAAAATACATGTTCTATTTTTAAAAAGTAAAATATTAAATTATTATATTATGAATAAAATTTTTAGACATAAAATATGCCAAATTTTTTGAATTTTTCCAAGATAAACTAAACTACTCATAAAATATGATTATATACACATATAAATTCAAAATATGAAATTATACAAGTTTAAAATTTGAATACTTTGTGAAAATACAATTTATTGCAAGAAATTTTACAATACTTGCCTCCATAATAATCAACTCTACTTTTTCCATTTTTTTTATCATAAAATGCAGTAAAAGGTTCCTTTATCTCGGCATAAGGAAGCAAGATCAATCCCATTGCGTAGTACGAATCGGCGAAAACCGGCGGGGCTTTTGGCTCTATCGTGTTTGCCGTTACTTCTGAAAAATTATTTTAAAAAGAGTTTGACATTAAATTAAATTCCTTAATATGCAATAATAAAATTAAATTATTTGTCATTTTAAATAAAATAAACTTGTATTTAATAATGGAATTATTATATTGCAATTATTATTTTAGAACATTTTCAAAAATAAATATGTTTATTTCATTAATAAAAACTTAAACTTTCTTATAAAATTTCCAATACTGTTTTGAAATTCTTAAAATTTTTAAATGTTCATAATGTTTCTTTAATAATCTAAAGATTTTAGCAGTTACTTAAGAAGAAAATATAAATAAAAGAATAGTTTAGTTTTAAAAAATTTTCACTCTGAAGAGAGGAACTAGAATATGTATATATAGTAAATAACGTTATCATCGAAAGATGTCATTTTAAATTTCCTGAAATTACAGAATATTTTTCTTAAAAGTATTAAGACACGTTACCATTTTCTCCTATCTGAAACAAATTCAGTCATTATAGATTGCATAAAATGCTACGGAATTATAAGCAGGGCCCCGTATCCGGGTTCCAAACCCGGGGTGGCCACAGACCGTTTACGTGTAAAATTTTGACTAATAAAAACAATAAATCAAAACTTTTTGATGATTTTTAACTGTTTACAACTGTGTATACACAGATATAAAAGTAAACACTATAACTATAATAAAATTCTTAATTAAATAATATTAAATTAATAAGAGTGGTCCACAACCCAGTAACGACCCAGATTACAGGTTATTCAATATTATCACTCATGTATCTACAAACATTTCTTAGCCTATATTAATTTTAGTTAAAAATTAAAATAAATTTTTGTTACATTAATAGTTGAATATTAATAAAGTAATAATAATATTCTATAATTTTAGCAAGTTTTTTATAGATTTGGACAAATGTTAAATTTTGTCTCAAGATATTTTTGTTGAAAAAATAAGAAATAATCTTGTTAAGATAATATTAAGTTTATACAATTCTTGAGAACAGAAACAGCAAGAAACTATTATTATATGACTCATTTTCACAATATATTATACTGTAGTGAAATGCTTTCAAATTTGGTGTATATGAATTCTCATACAAAATGCAAGAACAAAAAACAGAATAATTTTGTAGTAAAGAGAACAAATTATAATACAATTATTATTATTTCTTCTAACAAATATTAAAATCCCCACTAAAATGTGAAATTATTCTGATATAAAAGTTAGCATTGAAGAAAGCAAAAATCCTATTTATAGTTATTATAGCTTGAACTATAAGAATAACTTAAAAATAGGGCTTTAAATATTTAAATTGTAACCTTTTATTTTATATACAGTGGTTTAATTTTATAAAAATTATGTATGTGCAATTTTGTACAAAGAATATCCTTTTAAAAACATCATAAATGGCACTAACATATATACAGATCACTTACCTAACGAGTAACACGCTAAAATAAGTATCAAAGCACAAAATAGGAGCTTCATGATTTCAATAAATCTGCAAAGTTAATGTAAGTAGCATGCAATTGCCGACAAAATTTATGTTGGAGGGAAGAGTCACGCGCAGCTGATTCGTCACATGACTCAAACATTCGTCTCTCCCCACGTGATAAGTTTTCGCGATAAACACAAAATATCTGTACTTCTTCTATCGAAATTCCAGCGATTTTCTGATATAATTTAACGTTATATACCTTCTGGAAATGGCCTTTTTTTTCTTTATATACGCGTTTAAATGGCGTTTTTTAAAAAGAAATTC